CCATACAATAGAGGGCCTTGGAATCCACATTCAGGAATTTGGACTCTCTCCAAACTCACTGGGAGCCACTGAAGGGTTCACGTGGCATGGACTCTCATGTACCATCACAGAAGGGTTTACTGGAAGCCAAGGAAGGGTTCTGTATATTATGTAGAGGGTGGATCAGAAGAAGAGGCCAATTAGAAAACTTGGCAATGTCTGGGCTCAAGATCGAGTAGTCTTTTGTCATAGAAAGATTAGGATGGAGAGGAGACGGTTGATGCAAGAAATTCTTGGGAGGTAAAATTGACAGGTCTTGGTGATTGATTGGCTCCAGAGAGAACAGAGAAGGGAGGGGTCAAGGATAACCCCAGTGTCCTTTTCATTACATAACCTTGATTACTGTCTGGAGGGTTCCCAGCCCAAGAACAAGGTACCTAAATGTCTAACATCATCCCGAGGTTGCTTGGAGACCAGACTCAGAACAAACAGAAAGAACAGTTGTGAACCAGTCAAAGGGCCGTGTCTAATGTGCCTCTGCCACTAATAGGCAGAGTGCCCTCAGGACTCAATTTGCAGGTTTTGGTTCCTCCATCTGACATAGAGAATTGGCTTGGACCACTTCTCAGGTGTCTTCCAGCCCTCCTTACCTTCCTGATGTGATTATCATGAAAGTCAAACTCCTTTATTCATTCATACCTACAGCGATATACATTACCACTCTTCATGTGTCTACTCCTGTTCTAGGAGGTGTGGGAGTCCTAAGATGAACAAAGGTCAATATCAGCTGTCATGGAAAGAGGATGGGGAGTTATAGGCAAATAATAGGCAGTTCCAACATGAGTGATGGGATCAAAAAGCACTCAAAAAGGCTCTTCACCCAGGTTGGGAGTAGAATAGGCCAGAAACTATTTCCCTAAGAACAAGATCCCTAAATTGATATTGAAGGATAAATAGTCCAGCAAAGAAAAGGGAGAAATATTTCAGGCAGCAGTAGCAGCATTGTAGAATGGTCAGAAAGTAAGAGAGCTGCATGGTCAGCTCAGGGAATTGAAAATGATAACTGTATGTGGAAGTGTGTTGTGAACAGTCAAGTACTCTGTCATCATCATCATCATCATGTTTATAAAGCTGGATCTGGTGAAACACATCATAAGCACAAGGATGCATTGCTCTTTTCTCAAGACCAAGTGGCACGTCTCTTCTCTGGAGTATAATAATGATCCAGAGAGATATCTGTACTCTCCAATTCTTTTACTATTCTCCATGATTCTTCCCCCAAGAAAAAAATGTCAGAGATATTATACAATGCAGTTTCACCATCCATTATATTTTCAGAGTCTCAAATAATCCTGTGGTGGCAAAAAAAAAAAAATCACTATCACCATTATACATAAAGAAATTGAGTGATTCAGCCAAGAGTGGAGAAACCCAAACTTGATACCTATCTCATTGGCACCAGGTCACCCTCTTTCCCACAATCCATATAGACCTTCCGGTCACACAGAACTTAGGGCCACACCCATCATTCTCAAAGATTTTAATGGCAGACTACATTTCCCAAAGTCAGTGTCCCTTTTCATTGATTACCTTGTAGGTGGGTCAGCTTAAGTCTCTTTAGTTAAGCCATCTCCAAATCACTTTGGCTGGAAGATAGGAACGGTTTATGTCTGGGAAGGTTTCCTGTAGACAGCAAATCTTATCCATAATGGGCAGATTTCCTATGTTTAATCAAGGAAGGTGATATTCTTATCTCTGAGGTTCTGGTTTTTTAACCTTTTGCATAAGCCAATGTTTGCTTAGAATTTTGAATCCATCTCATTTGTGGGCTTAATCCATGCAGTAAGGTGAAGGAGGGAGAGAGTTGGAGCTGGGGACCAAGGTGGGAGTGTTTCTTGGCCGTTCCTTCTCTGCCTTGTGACCCAGAAGCAAATCACTCCACCATAGGCATGCCTGGGGTCCACACAAAACCTCGGTGTAAATCTCCGTCCTCCTTGTGATTGGTTCTATAGACACTGTAAGTGACATCATTTCCGTGAGCCTCAGCTGCTCATCCAGAAAAATGGGAGCAATCCTTTATACCCTTCAAGATAATGTAATGCTGGAATATCTGTGTTGCTTAGCTGATATAAACAGCTGGGAGTATTTAAAACAGTTCCCTTTACGTTTCTCTGCCTCTCTGGATCACTTTCCTCATTCACAGAAGGGAGATAACAATCTCTCCCCTGTATACCTCATTGGGCATCTGAGAAAATTCCATGCAGTCATGTTTGCGAAAGTCCTTGCAAACTTTAAGAGTTTATGACAGTATGAGATATAATTTACTGTAAGTCATGAAGTGTTAGTCGCTCAGTCGTGTCCAACTCTTTGTAACCTCATGGACTGTAACCCACCAGGCTCCTCTGTCCATGGAATTTTCCAGACAAGAATACTGGAGTGGATTGCCATTTCCTACTCTAGGGGATCTTCCTGACCCAAAGATTGAACCCAGGTCTCTTGCACTTCAGGCAGATTCTTTACCATCCAAGACACCAGCAAAGCCCATAGAATATTGGAGTGGATAGCCATTACCTTCTCCAAGGGGTCTTCCTGACCCAGGGATCAAACCCGGTTCTCCTGCATTAGAAGTGTGAAGTCTTAGCCACTGGACCACTAGGGAAATCCCACTCTATCTAAGGAGCTATGCAAAACTCTTCACATATCTGTTTATTATTCTATGAGGGTCCTACAGGGTAGATATCATCATTTCCAATTCCCAAATAAGGAAGCCAGAGCCCAGAAGGTTAATTGCCTTTCCCAGATTGACGAGATAGTACTCGCCAGAGCAGAGATTAGAATCTAAGTTGGTCTGACTCCAAACCCAGTGTTCTTCCTATGAGCCCCTGTTCCCAATGAGTCCAGGGGTTACAATCCTAGTCTCTGAAGTCAGGCTACCTCAGTCCCATTTGAGGTCTGTGTCACTGGGGGAGCGTTATTTTTTTCTCTGCCTCAGTTACCTCATTTGTGAAAATAACATAGTGGTAGTATCTTAACTTTGGGGCATAAGATTCTTCATCTCATTTACTTCTAGTTTCTTCAACTTGAAAATGAGAAAATAACAATAATTGTACTGTGCCAGGCTGGAGGCAAAGAGATCTTACTAACAACCCTTCTTACTGAATCTTAATTCTAGCTCTAAGATCTGGGCTGTTCCTTACTTGAGACTTATGTCCGACCTCCTCTGTGGAGCCTGCTAAGATCATACAGGGGTAGTGTTTGGAGTCCTCCACATGTTGACACTCATTTGTACGTCACTGAATACATTTATATAAATATCTTTTATGCCTTAACTGATAACTGTGAAGATTCACAGCTTTCTGGAATCTAATAAGAATAACTGTCATTTGCTGGGTAGCTGCCATATGCCTGAAATTGCACACTGAGCCTTATGAAGTGAGATTTTCTATTCCTATTATATAGAAGAGAAAACCGAGGCTCACAGAGGTTGGTTTGCCCACAAACACACAGCTGTTTGCACAGAATACACTAACAAATGTTTGTCAAATGAATGAATGAATGAATGAATCAGTGATGTGTCCTCAAAACCACTAATGATTTAGTGAACAAAGCCCTTGTCACTTACACTCTGACCCCACAACACATAGAATAGAACTGATTGCATAATGATGCCAGACTCAGACTTGAACAGAGTAAAGGCCAAGATGTCTAAGGAGTTTCCAAGGCCTCCATTGAGTGGACATACTTTGTGAGTGGCTCAGCGGGGAGCACATAGGGGCTGGATGTGAATCTTGCCATCTGCCAATGTTGGGCACTCAGAGCTCTGTGGGGTTGCCAAGTGGCCACCTAAATTCTCATCTCTTTTAGAGACATTTGATTTGTTGATGATCTAAAGAGCCACAGCAGAAATTTATTCACAAGTTTAAATCTCACCATCGGTTCCTACTTGTGAAAACTGAATTCTCGAAGGCCAGTCGCCTTTGATACCATTGATCCTCAGTGTTCCAATAAACCACATTTTCAAAAACAGGATAAAACCCTCAGAGCACAATGATGCTTCTCACAGTCTCCACAGAGCTTTTGCTTTCTCTGGCGCTTGGCACCCAAATGTGACATCAAGTAAGTGAGGAGGAAGGGGAAAGGGGCGGGGGGGCGGGTCACAGAGACTAGGGCATAAAGCAAAGTCAACATCATTGCTTCATCCAGGTGTCCCACAAACATTGAATGGAGGCCTACCTGGCATGGTGGGAGCCATTGTTCTCATTTTCTGGAAAAGGAAACTGAAGCTCACAGAGATCTGTCAAGAAGATTAAGATATGGTCCTTACCCTCAAAGAGACCCCAATTCAATAGAGGTGACAGACATGGAGGCCATGACCTATGACCCAAAAAGAGTGGCTACAAAGTATTCAAGGTGTGTGGAAGAAAGTGCAATTACCTTAAGAAGGAAGGACTCCCTTTGGGAAGTATTTGCAAATTAGGTGAAGTCAAGCCTGACAGTAACATTTGACAATGACATTTGACTTTGTTTCATGAGAACATCATATGTATCCTGATTCCTCCCACAAATATGTGAGAGGAGTCCAGTACTTGGAGATTTATCTGTGTGATTTTAGACAAGTGACTTCATACTTTTAAGCCCTAGTTTCTTTCTCAGCAGAATAGGAATTTGTTGTTCAACCACTCAGTCATGTTCAACTCCTTGAGCTCCCACGGAGTGCAGCACGCCAAGCCTCCCTGTCCATCACCAACTCCCGGAGTTTGCTCAGACTCCTGTCCATTGAGTCAGTGATGCCAGCCAACCGTCTCATCCTCTGTCCTCGCCTTCTCCTCCTGCCCTCAATCTTCCCCAGCATCAGGGTCTTTTCCAATGAATCAGTTGTTCCCATCAGGTGGCCATAGTATCGGACCTTCAGCTTCAGCATCAGTCCTTCCAATGAATATTCAGGATTGATTTCCTTCAGGATTGAATAGGAATATGATCACCCTAATTTCTGTTAGGACTACTGTCATTAATTGCTGCAGGGCTGTCCTGGGCCCTGCAGCACGGCTGGCAGCGTTCCTGGCCTCTCCCTCCTGGATGCCAGTACCCGCCTGGGCGGCAGCGACTACAATGCCTCCAGCCGTTGCCAAATGCCCACGGGGCTGGACGGGGCAGAATGGCCCCTGCGGAGAATCCCCTGTCCTGCCCCTGCCCCGGAAGGCGTGCTGTTCCCCTGTCCCGGGTGAGAAAAGACCCAGGACCCGGAACCGGAAGGAACCGTCCACGCTCAGGGAGCCTGAGAGCCGGAAGCCCTCCTCCACTTCCTCGGGCTCTCCCGGAGGCCCACAGGGCCCTCCACCAAACCAACGCGCTCCTTCCCTCTCCGCCTGGGCCCCTCCCCACCGCCGAGCTGGCAGGAATGCCCCCTGCTCCCTCCGCCCTGCCCTCGCCCCTTCCGTTCGCCCTGTGGGAGGGGGTGCCAGGATGGGCAGGACGCTGTCGCATTAGAAAGGCGGACCGGACGACAGGCAGGAGAAAGCCCGGCCTCGGCCTTACCCCAGACTTCAGATTTCAGGGGGGTGTGCTGTCACCAAACGGCAAACCCCCCAAAACAAAAAGCCTGCTCAAAGCAGATTCCTCCGTTGCCATGTAAGGCAAGGCCTTGGCCCGCTCTGCGCAACCTGGGCGAGTTGGGGTAGGAGGTGAGCTTCACAGAGAAGGGCATTCTGGTTCAGTACCCGGTCCCCACCCCCAGGCCCCCCCAGGCCCCTTGCATTCCTCCTGGAAGGCCCCTGAGGATGCACTAAAATAACCCCCTCGGTCCTCCTACCCTTCTCCGCTCGCCTCGGCCGTCCCCTCTGCAGAAGGCCAGCATGCAGCCTGGTGCACGGCTCAGGGGTGTGTAGCATTTTGTCTGAATAGGCCCCTATGTTCCCATAATTTATAGTGGTAAGTAATCTTATTTGCAAAGCAAGCCCTTACAGTTATAAAAAACAAGTTAATTGACTTGCATAAAAATCAAACATGTAAAAGTTTTCCATCTTAACACAAACAGCACACTGAGCCCATTTGTACAATAGCTATGATGCAGGGCGGCCCGCGTCTGGACTACCTAGGACCCGGCCTCTTTCATAACCCGAAATGGAATCTTAAACCCTGACAAGGCCACATACCGATGGGAGTTACTGAATTTAGAGGCAGTCACTCAACTAATTATACGACGTTTTATTTTTTTCCTTGTGTCAATAAACAAACTTGGGTCTGACTTCTGACACCGAGTCCTAGAAGCCAATTAAGAGGCGTTCCCAATATATTACAGGGTCTACAAACAAGGATGGCTTTTCTTGGAATCGTGAACATCATGTTTCTTTTAATGAGTGTGAAAATATATGAGTTTCTTAATCACTGGCAACTCCGATGGCGTCTGAGACAGGGAAATCACTGACTCCCAGCTCAGGAATGAACAGGGGCCGGATTCTTGACGGGCTCTTTACGACGGGATCTTCTGCTGTGGGACTGCGGGGAAGACAGCATTCAAGAAATGCTGCATTTAGTTGGAACATGACAGTGTGCTGGTGGTGAAATCAGCGTCATCACCCCAGAAGAAGCAGAGAAAGGAGCCCACTGTGGTGCTGATCTTGTGCAGAAAGTAAGGAATCCCACCGTGGTGAAGTGGAGGAAAAACTGTAAAGCCTGCAAGACGTGCACTGCAAAGGGCTGTCATGCTGCCCCCCCCACCCCCGATTACCCCCAGCCTCTGCAGGGAAAGGGAAAGGGGAGGGAAACTGTTTATTAAGCACCCATCATGTGCTGGGTGCTTTTGCTTTCTGTATCTTGTTTAGACCTCCAAAGAACCCTGCCAGGAAGATATCAGTTCAGTTCAGTTCAGTGACTCAGTCATGTCTGACTTTTTTCAACCCCATGGACTGCAGCACGCCAGGCTCCCCTGTCCATCACCAACTCCCAGAGTTTGCTCAAGCTCATGTCCATTGAGTCGGTGATGCCATCCAACCATCTCATCCTCTGTCGTCCCCTTCTCCTCCCGCCTTCAATCTTTCCCAGCATCAGGGTCTTTTCCAGTGAGTCAGTTCTTCCCGTTAGGTGGCCAAAGTATTGGACCTTCAGCTTCAGCATCAGCCCTTTCACTGAATATTCAGGACTGATTTCCTTTAGGATGGACTGGTGTGATCTCCTTACAGTCCAAGGGACTCTCAGGAGTCTTCTCCAACACCACAGTTCAAAAGCATCAGTTCTTCAGTGCTCAGCTTTCTTTATAGTCCAACTCTTACACCCATACATGACTACTGGAAAAACCATAGCCTTGACTAGACGGACCTTTGTTGGCAAAGTAACGTCTCTGCTTTTTAATATGCTGTAAAGGTTGGTCATGGCTTTTCTTCTGAGGAGCAAGAGTCTTTTAGTTTCGTGGCTGCAGTTACCATCTGCAGTGATTTGGGAACCCCCAAAAATAAAGTCTGTCACTGTTTCCACTCTTTCTCCATCTATTTGCCATGAAGTGATGGGACTGGATGCCATGATCTTAGTTTTCTGAATGTTGAATTTTAAGCCAAATTTTTCACTCTTCTCTTTCACTTTCATCAAGAGGCTCTTTAGTTCTTCTCTTTCTGCCATAAGGGTGATGTCTGGTTATTGATATTTCTCCTGGCAATCTTGATTTCAGCTTGTGCTTCCTCCAGCCCACTGTTTCTCATGATGTACTCTGCATACAAGTTAAATAAGCAGGGTGACAATACACAGCCTTGACATACTCCTTTCCCCATTTGGAACCAGTCTCTTGTTCCATGTCCAGTTGTAACTGTTGCTTCTTGATCTGCATACAGATTTCTCAGGAGGCAGGTAAGGTGTTCTGGTATTCCCATCTCTTTAAGAATTTTCCACAGTGTGTTGTGATCCACACAGCCAAAGACTTTGGCATAGTCAATAAAGCAGAAGTAGATGTTTTTCTGGAACTCTTTTGCTTTTTCTATTATCTAACGGATGTTGGTAATTTGATCTCTGGTTCCTTGTCTTTTCTAAATCCAGCTTGAACATCTGGAAGTTCACGGTTCATGTACTATTGAAGCCTGGCTTGGAGAATTTTGAGCATTACTTTGCTACTGTGTGAGGTGAGTGGAATTGTGCAGTAGTTTGAACATTCTTTGGCATTGCCTTTCTTTGGGATTGGAATGAAAACTGACCTTTTCCAGTCCTGTGGCCACTGCTGAGTTTTCCAAATTTGCTGGCATATTGAGTGCAGCACTTTAACAGCATCATCTTTTAGGAACTGAAATAGCTCAACTGGAATTCCATCCCCTCCACTAGCTTTGTTCATAGTGATTCTTCTGATTTCACATTCCAGGATGTCTGGCTCTAGGAGGATATAATTGCTCCTGTTTTACAGATGAGAATACCGAGGCTCAGAGGCATGAAGTGACTTGCCTAAGGTCACACAGCAAGTCAGTGGCAGAGCCAAAGTCAGTTCTCATTCAGATCAATCATCTTACTAGCCCACTGCTCCGACGGGGTGAGAATAGCCTTCAGGAACCCAGGATCAGACATGATGTTTCCTCTCTGCAAAATGGCTCCACCTACCCACTCAGCAGTACCAGCACAGACTAGAGAAGCAGCAAGAATGAGACTCTGCTGTGCATTCTGGTGGAGGTGTTCCCAGAGGAGGAGCGCCCAGTTCAGCCGGATGGTGGGGGTGGGGTGGGACGGATGGTCAGGAAATACTCAGAGAGTAACCCGTCTGGTGACTTCACATCCCTCAGTGTTTTTTAATTCTGAGATGGACAAGTGAGGAAAGAGAACCCAGGAGGACAGGCCAGCCTGAGCACGGGTGCGAGGTTGTGAGAGCAGCCCAGGGGCTCCCCACCTCGCTGGAGGGCCGGCCCCCGGGACCGCAGCATGCGCAGGGGGCGGCACCGAGGGGAAGGGGGCAGGCAGGGTGGGCGTGGCCAGAACTGTTCTCTGGACCACTCCAGGTTGGGGGACAGACAGGCGACAGTAACTACACCTGAACCGAGAAGATGGAGGGGCGCCTGGGGTCGGGGCTCAGGTCCCAGGCTCCATGGCAGCACAGTGCGGGGTTCAGAGCAGGGGCTTCCCCCTGCCTCAGTTTCTCTTCTGCAGAACACGATAATAAGAGTGTTGGCCTCTCAGAACAGCACCCTGCGTGTCACGAGACCGGTTAACGTGAGATGCTGAAGATCCTCCTCTGGGACATGCCGTCACCTTGGACGAGTCTCCAGACCTCCCAATAATATGGATGTGTGGGCTCTTGGCCCAGAGTAAGGGCTCACAGGATAAACGCCATCACTGCTGTCAACTCTGCTCTCTCGTCTTCACCATCTCTGGGACAGCCAGTGATCACAGCCTCCCCGAGCGAGCAGCCAGTCACCACCACCATCCCGTCACAGCGATCTGTCCTGGCAGGCCGCGATGCCACCCAGGTGGACAAGACAAATGGACTTGCCACCCACCCGAAGCGGGCACCGGGGCGCAGGCCTGGCTCTCAGGCTCCGCTGGGCTCCCTTCCGGCCGCCAGGCTGCCCGTCTGCGTGGGCTCTGCCCGGTGGAGGTCCTGTTATTTATGTTTGGAAAATGCATTCAGGGCAGTTCCCAGAAGCACTTACAGAGCTCTTGTTTAATTGCTACTTTATAAACTCGCTGCTCCAAAGAGTGAGGGATTGATGGTCTCGCCTGGCACCTGGAGCAGTCCCGCTGCAAATGCTTTTCCCAGAGCGGCCTGGGAACCCAGCTCCCAGGAGCCCCAGCCCCGTGCAGCTCTGGCCCGTAGCCAGCTCCAGAGGTCCCTGTGGGCCTCGTCACCCTAATCCCCAGCTTGGGGATGGCAGCAGCTGGCGGGCTGGTCACACATGCAACGCATACACGAAGAGCCATCATCCGCTCAAGACCAAGAGCTTTGGGGGGTGGGGGTGCAGCTAAGAGAAGCCCTGTTGCTCCCCCTTCACCCTCCCCTTGTCGCTGACCTGCAGAACGACCCTGAGGACATCCCAGTCCCAGATATGGACAATAGGGGCCAGTCCTGCTGAGCCCCTTCCCCGGACACCATCGGTGTCCAGCAGGCCTGGACTTGCAATGCCAGCTCCCTCCATTTCAGGGCTAGTTCTCTACACACCCTGAGCCTCAGCATCCGCTCCTGTAAAGTGCGACTTGTGGATTCCATTTGTCAGCATCATTGAGAAAATGAAGCAGAGTTGCAACGGTGCCTCTCCTGGA